GAGAGAGAGAGAGAGAGAGAGAGAGAGAGAGAGAGAGAGAGAGAGAGAGAGAGAGAGAGAGAGAGAGAGAGAGAGAGAGAGAGAGAGGCCGGGGGAAGGGGGGAAGCTGCGCTGTCCACGAAGTGTTTCTGACACGTGCGGCTGGATTTCTCTTTTGTGTGATGCCTTCCAGGGAATGCTCCAAGACACTTCGGCACGGCCAGCATTACTGTGCACATCAGAACACTATTTCAGATGAATGATCAAATTTTCTGTACCGAACAGCAAAAATGCGAAGCAGATTGGATGTCCGTTCATACATTGCAAGACCTGATGAAGAACAACGGCAGACGTGTATAATCGAACGCGACTTCCCTTAACTATCCCCGAGCGACTCTCAATCGTACTGTCTCGCCCCCAGAGAGAGAGAGAGAGAGAGAGAGAGAGAGAGAGAGAGAGAGAGGGGTCGTTTCTGAGTGGCTTGTTTTTATCGTCAAACGAAGAAAAAGGAAGGACGAAGTTGAAAGAACTCCAATGTGAAGACTTACGTATTTTCTGACATCTAAAAGAAAATACTTGTTGCCCACCAAGGGAGAGATGAGCTGACAAGAGAAGTCATAGATGTGAAAGCATTTCCGGCAGAACAGGCCTGTTGCTAACCACAACTGCTCTCAGGCCACCACACCCACCCAGCACGCATGCTCTGTGCTTTTGTTTGCAAGGCGGATGACCGGCATGGGTCCTACGACATGAGAGATTTGTAGAATTGGACATCAAACACACTGCCGAAGGGAGTGGGTGTTTGCATGTGGCTTTCCTGTTTCGACGACGTCTGCTTCAGTGTCCCGTGCCCTGATTACTTTGCTGACGTGGCATTGATTGATTGGCAATCACCGTGGTTCTCTGGATTTGGACATCAACACATTCTACGGAAGGGGTGTGTTTGCATTTGGCTTTACTTTTTTTCGACGCCTGCTTCATTATCCCGTCCTGATTAAGTTGCTGACGTTGTATTGATTGATTGGTAATCACCTGACGTGGTATTGATTGATTGGCAATCACCGTGGTCCTCTGCAATTGTTGGACATCAACACACTGCCGAAGGAGGGGGTGTTTGCATTTGACTTTCCTTTTTCGACGCCTGGTTTCATCGTGTCCCGCCCTGATTACTTTTGCTGACGTGGCATTGATTGATTGGTAATCACCGAGGTAGTGCACGCGTACCGATCAGATCGCCTGAGGTGCATACAATACCGCTTTGGCTTCTGTGCGACTTGCGCCGACCAAGCGCCGCGAGTGGCCAGCCTGTGAGGCGCAGGTTAGGACAGGAAGACAAGGAGGACGAAGACCAAGAAGAAGGGTTAAAAAGGGGTAGGGACTCTTAAAAAAAAGAAGAAAAAAGGGGTAGGGAGGGAAAGATGAGGTCATCAATTACCTTTCGAGATAACGAGAGGACGCCGCTGTTCCGACTCAAGCTACCGGTCAATGTCTTCGGCATTTCCCTGTTCGCGGGGATGGCGGCAGGTCCCAACAGCGGCGACCTGGCATTGCAACTGGGATCCCGATCAGAGGTGGGGCCGTCTTGGCGGGTGCGGTTCAGACCGAACGAAGAGGCGCCGCCTAGCTTGATTGTCAAGGCCGGGGTTGGACCATGGGGCTCCGTGGTTAACGGGCTGCTGTCAATGTGCGCGGAGTTTGATATAGGAAGAGGAGGTGTGACCAGTTTTAAGATCAGGGCCAAACCTCGTTTCGGGGACTTCAGCATCGGCCATGGGCCGATACATTATCGCCACGTGTCAACGCGGGGGGCCATCAGCGGGAACGGATTGTTGATGTCCTCCTCCTCCTCAGGGCGTATTCGCGGCGGGAGTCGATCATTGACAGTAGGGAGGGATATTGGGGGGGCAGATGACGTGGGGATGGAGTGCGGCGACATTCCGCGGGAGTCAGAGAAAGCTGTCGGGTCAGTTCCGGCATCGCGCGGGACTGTCAGTTTGGGCGGGGGCGCAAGTAAATTGGGAGGGGATAACGGCGGAGACGACGAGCGCTTCAGCGCTAGCTTCAGCGCTAGCGGAGACCTTCTTCCGTCAATGGGGGCCCCGAAAGAAGGGGGGGGGATCGGCGGCGGCCCTCAACGGTCCTCTGGGAGTCGTAGCGGTGTGCTTTTGCCAAACGGGATGGGTAGCAGCTACGATGACGTCAACGATTACGCGGGGGAAGGGGCCACGACGGCGCCCATAACTCCGCTGATTAGGTCGTCCTCCGCCGGCGCTGCGGACGATGAAGCGCGCGCAGCCTCTGTGTTCGGCGCCGCGGGCGCAGTTTCGAAAGGTAGCGCCCGCCTTCTTGCCAACGGGCCTCTGTTGCGCCGCCACGACGATGATCCGCGGAAAAGGGAGGAGGAGCAGGTAATTGGGGAGCTTGGGCTGTTTGGTGGGGGGGGCATTGCGAATCTCAGGAGCCATCGGGGGTCAAAGGCAGGGTTGACCTCCTCTTCGGCGCCATTGCAAGGGCAAAAGAGAGAGAGAGAGAATTGGAACTGGGGAGACTGGTTCGTTAACGTGCATAGTCAGCTTCCTGTCGGCAAATGGGCTATAGCAAATTTCCGTTGGACTGTACGGCTGTTCCCGCGCGACGATGGGAAAGATGATGAGGACGCGTCGTCTGATCTCCTTCTTGATAGGGGACGTAATTGGTTGCCCGGTCCGCTGGGGAGGCTGAAGCGGAGGCCATCTCTGTCGTTAGAGAAGGTGAGCTTCGAAAGCTTTTACGAGGACCGTGTACCTGTGGAAGGAGGGGTGTTGTTAGGGCTAGGGGGGGCGGGGAGGGCATCTGCGCAGGGGGGAGTGGCGGCGGGAGATTTTGGCGGGAAAGGTCGGCACCAGACGATGCTCGGGGCGGCTGGTTCACGGAAGGGGGGAAGGTCGGGATCCACGGTGACCGTGAACATTCCTCTGGGCCCTGGGCCACCCGGTGAGGGGGAAATGATGGAACCAGGAGCGGGAATGGCTCCCGCTGGGGCACCGCTCGGAGGGCGCGGAGTGTCCCGCGGAGTGCCCACGTGCGGAGAGCAGGTGCAATACCTCTGGTCGGAGAACGCGAAGCTGCGGAAGGCCATGGAGGACCTGCGTAGCGAGTTCCACCGCTTGGCCAGCAGTGCTGGGCCTGGAGCTGGCGGAGCGGGGAGTAGGCGGAAGCCGGGGGGGGGGGAAGGAGAGAGATCAGACGCATTCGGGAGTGGCGGAGATGGCGGCGGGTATGGTGGACAGGCAGGTGGGGGCGCCGGCGGCCAGAATGGGACAGCGAATGGGAGAGGAGGAAGGGGAGGAGGAAGAGATGATCGGGGAACGAAAGATGGAAGGAGCGGCGGTGTTAGCGAGATGGGAATTCCGCTGCCGTCGGACATCAGCGAAGAGCTGAAGAGGGCGATAATGAATGCGAAAAATCAATGAAGCGTTGATTGATTGATGGAATGGATGAGGGGGCAGGAGGAATCCGATTCGAAGATGAGGACGACGAACTGAGTGAGTGAGATATGGTGTTGTGGATGCGATCGATCTGACGTTTGTGCTCTGTCACATATTAGGATGCGTAAATCTGAGAAGCAGAAGCTCACGATGATTCAAGACTTGAGATGAAGAAGCTGGCGTTGGCGCTTTTTCTCCGCCTCTCGTGGACACACATGCAGTATCGTGTGCTGCAATAAACTTTGTATGATGCAGAGAATACAGAGAATACCTCGTTCTTTGGTGTGTGCCGGTCAACTGCCAGCTCTACTTACTAACGGCTTGTTTCGTTCGTACCTCCTCAAACACACACAAAGCTGAGAGAGAGAGAGAGAGAGAGAGAGAGAGAGAGAGAGAGAGAGAGAGAGAGAGAGAGAGAGAGAAGTTTGTAGAATTGGAGAACGGAAAGGCCAAGGACAGGAAGCGAGAGCGCGGGTGTCTTGTTTCCGAGCAGGCTAGACTCGAACGAGAGAGAGAGAGAGAGAGAGAGAGAGAGAGAGAGAGAGAGAGAGAGAGAGAGAGAGAGAGAGAGAGAGATTAGACCCTTCATTTTCCGGTTAACTGGAATTGCCCAGAGGTGAGAGGTGCAGTCGAGTTTATGATGTTTGTTGGTTCGCCGTTGCCGAGAGAGCTCTCGTACACTGCGCTAGGAAATCATCGCTGTAATGGCAGTCGGCACGCGGGGGAACCTGCCCAGCCATTGGGGCGGGCTGGCCATGGTGGCGTATCGCTTGCCCAGTGATATATGAATTGTAGCCACCACAGTATCCTAATTCGTTGTGCTTTGCCGTGTCCTTGCAGGGGGGTTGTGAGAGCAGCGGCCGAGTAGGCATTCTCCACTTCTCTGCCTGCAGACATGGTTGTATCTCTCGTTCGTTCGTTCGTTCGTGAGAGAGAGAGAGAGAGAGAGAGAGAGAGAGAGAGAGAGAGAGAGAGAGAGAGAGAGAGAGAGAGAGAGAGAGGGGCTTACACCCTTCATTTT